CAGGATCACCCTCTAGCAGAGACCCCACAACTGACATACTTGGATGAAACTCAGAACCATTTGCTTCCAGGGAACCTACAGCCACTGCCCTTGGTTAGGATCCAGTCGTTTTGTCTAGTCCTTCCCCATTCCTTCTATTCCCTCCCCATTCTTTGGTGACTCCCCACTGACTCACCAAAATTCTCTATAGCAGAGGCCCTACAGTCATCACACACTAGGTTAGGAACCAGACTGGAGCAACAACAACTAAAGAACAGAACAAAGTTCTTAACAAAGTTAAGACCAGATATCTACACCAAGAAATACCATGTATGTCAACACACCGAATACCCAGACTCCAATACAAAAACATAAACAACCAAGACAATATACCTCCTCCAGAAGACAGGAACTCTATTGTAATAGGCTCTGAGAAAAGCAATTTATTTAAAGCACAAGAAAAGGACTTCAAAATAACAAGTATGAATATGTTTAAGGACCTTAAAGAGGCTATGAATTAATGCTTTAATGAAGACCGTGAAATGATACGATAGCTAAAAATCATATAGTGACCCTTATATGGTGATGGCAGGTAACATCAGTACCCCACTCTTGCTAATAGACAGGTTATGCAGATAAAAACTAAACAGAAAAATGCTGGAGTTAAATAAGTCAAATGGACCCAGCAGATATTTACAGAACATTTCATCTAAACACAAAAGAATATGCCTTCTTCTTAGGAGCTCAAGGAACTGTCTCCACAATTGACTACATACTTGGACACAAAAATGTCCCCTCAGATATAAGAAAATTGAAATAATACCCTCCATCCTATCTGACCACAATGGATTAAAGCTGAATGTCAACAACTGTAGGAATGGCAGAAATTATATAGCTCATAGAAGCCAAACAACTCACTACTGACTGAAAACTAGGTCAAGAAGGAAATTTTAAAACTTTTTAGAATTTAATAAAAATGAAAATCAACACACTCAGACATGTGGGACACAATGAAGGCAATTCTAAGAGGTAAGTTCATACCACTGAGTGCTACATCAAATACCAAGAAACCTCTCATATTAATAACTTAGTGGCTTGCTTGAAAGCTCCCAAAAAGCAAGAAGAAATAATACTCAAAGGAGTAAATGTGAAAAAATAAAAATCTGGGTTGAAATAACTGAACTAGAAACAAATGATGATAATGCAAAGAATCAATGAAATGAAGAGTTGGTTCTTTGAGAAAATCAATAAGATTAACAAACCTTTAGCCAAATTAAACAAAAGGAAGATAAGCTCAAATTAATCATATAAGAGGTGAAAGGGGAGATGTTACAACAGATACTGGGGAATTGAGAGAATCTTAAGGACATACTTTAGAAATCTGTATTTCACCAAAATTGGGAAAAAACTTTAAAAAATGAACAAATTTCTTGATATATACAATCTACCAAACTTAAGTAAAAATGAAATAGACAATTTAAACAGATTTGTAACCCCTCGAGAAATGGAAGCATTAAAACCCCTGGACACCATGGGCTTCGTGTAGAATTCTACCAGTCCTTCAAAGAAGAACTGATGTCAATGTTCTTCAAGATATTCTTCAAACTAGAAACTGAAGGATCATTTCCGAATTATTTTTGTTACCCTGATACCAAAACCACATAATGACACAACAAAGGAAAATCATAGACCAATATCCCTTATGAACATAATTGCAAAAAGCCCAGAAATAAGTTACATCGTGCTAGTCTTTTGCCTAAAGGGTTCCACAGATTCCTCTACCTAAACATCACAGGCTATTGTCAAGGCTATTGGTTACCCTCCCCAACCTGATATAAGTGGCGATTGCTGAAGACACAAGTTACTTATGTCGTTGAACATGAACAAATTGAGCGCTTGTCCAACTAGATGCTTCACTCCTACTGACTAGTGTTGATGGCGTTGGAAGATACTTTGCAGACTATGGAAGGAGAAAACAATCATCAACAGCATCCAGTTACAAACCCTGTGACCTACAACAACAACCTGCCTGCAGATACACTGGTACTCTAGTGGTACCATGTATTGGGAGTAACCCACCACTTTTTGATTGGATTTAAGGCACAGTCCATGAGACAGAACCTATATCTGACACTGATAAAATGGCCAAGAGCCTGAAACTAGATAGTTCATAGGCCCAAGGGGAAGGAAATCTGTCACTACTACTAGGCTAAAGGAACATAGCAATGGAATGCCTCCTAATGATACGTTTCTATACCCATACACCAGTGCTTCACTCAACTCACATCTGAGAAGGTTCTTCTTGTAGTAGACAGTAATTAACTCAGACACCCCCAAACGGACAGTGCAGAGAATGAGAGACTCTGGAGCACTCAGCCATAACAGGATGTCTTTGTCTCCCCCCAACTCCCAAGGTTCAGAGATCTATTCAGAAAAGGAGGCAGAAGGAAGAAATGTAAGGGCAAGAAGTGATAGATGACTCCAAGGAAACACTTGTGTCCCAGACACCACAGAGCTGATGGATATATGAACTCACAGAGATTGTGAAAATATGCACAAGACCTGCACGTGTCCCAATCAGACAAAATCCTAGGACGGCAAGGGGGAAGTAGACACAAAATTTCACCTCTAACCAATAAGCTATTTACAATTGATATCCACTGGGAAGAGGGAAGTCAGGTTTCTCCAATAGAGTACCACTGGGGGTATCAATCACACTTCAGGACAGGCCCCATGTCTTGGTGGACAACACAAAAGGAACTCCATGTTTTTGTGAATGTTTATTGGGAATTGAACTCAGGTCCTCTAGAAGAGTAGCCAATGCTCTTAAACATTAAGCCATCTCTCCAACCCCATGTTCTGTTCTTATCCCCACTGTCCTCCTTGTACAGGTCTCTGAAGACAGACTTCTTGGAGCTATCAAAACCACCTGAGCCTTCATTTTCTTCACATCTTAAGAGATTCTTTATTTTAACTCCATTCCCTCTCCCTACATGCTCCAAATTTGCTCAGGAAATCTTGTCCCTTTCACCTTCTCCAGAGGACCATGTATGTTCCTTTTAGGGTCCTGCTTGCTTCCTAGTTCTCTGGCAGTGTGGATTGGTAATCCTTTACTCTATGTCTAACATCCATATATGGGGGGTGGGGAGGACATGAGGGATCAGGAAGATTGAGTTTTGGGGAAGAATAAAGGAAAAGCAAGAAAATAAATACCATAATAGAGGGAGTCATTTATGGGTTTAAAGAGAAATTTGGCACTAGGGAGATGTCCAGAGATCTACAAGGATGACCCCAACTAACAATCTAAGCAATAGTGGAGAGGCTACCTTAAATGCCCTTCCCCTATAATGAGATTGATGACTGCCTTATATGCCATCCTAGAGCCTTAGTCCAATATCTAATGGAAGCAAAAGCAAAGACCCACAGCTAAGCACTGAGCCTAACTCCTGGAATCCAGTTGTAGAGAGGGAGGAGTGATGAGCAAAGGGGTCAAAAGCAGGCTGAAGAAACCCACAGAAACAGCTGACCTGAACAAGGGGGAACTCATGGACCCCAGACTGATAGCTACGAAACCAGCATAGGACCAAACCAGGCCCCCTGAACATGAGTGTCAGCTAGGAGGAGTGGACAGTGTATGGTGCCTCTGGTGGTGGATCAGTATTTATTCCTAGTGTGCTATTGGACTTTGGGAGCCCATTCCACATAGAGAGATACTCTCTCAGCCTAGATACACTGGATAGGGCCTAGGCCCTGCTCCAAATGATGTGACAGACTTTGAAGATTCCCCCATGAAAGACCTCACCCTCCCTTGGAAGCAGAAAGGGGATGGGACAGGGGGTTGGTGGGGGGCAGGAGAGGAGGGAAGGGAGAGGGAACTGGGATTGACACATAAAACAATATTGTTTCTAATTTAAATAAAAAGATAGGAGAGAAAAAAGATATACTTTATTTTAAACTGTGTGTGTCACACATGTATGCGCATGCATACACGTGCACATGTGTGCAGGCTCATGAATGATGGTGGTCATAAAGTCCAGTGGCTTCTGGAGCTGGAGTTGAAAGCGGCCTAACTTAAATACTGGCTACCAAACTCAAGTCATCTGGAAGAACAAAAATCTACTCTTAACAGATGGAGTCCCAACACTCTTTTTTTTTCTGTTTTCAAAGATGACACCTCTCTCAAACCCTGATAAATCCCTAATACATTGTGAATGAAAAGAATTACCTGAGTTCAGTTCAGTAAAGAGTCTGAGAAGAGGAGCAGGCTGAGTTCACACAGGATCTCCAGCCCTTTGCCTCATTTCAGTGTTGTGAGTTCTTCAAGAAATGTGCTCCAAGTTGTATGCTCCCTGTAGGCTGGGTTGTGCCATCCTACACAAGGTGTTCTAGTTGGGGCTGCTATTGCTGTGATGAAACCCCATGACCAAAAGGGAGGAGAGGGTTTATTTGGCTTATTCTTCAACATCATTGTTCATCAATAAAGGAAGTCAGGGCAGGAAAGAAACCTAGACACAGGAGCTGATGCAGAGGCCATGGGAGGTGTTGCTTCCTGACTTGCTTCCCCTGGCTTGCTCAGTCTGCTTTCTTATAAAACCCAGGACCACCAGCCCAGGGATGGGCACCACTTGCAATGGGTTGGGCCCACCCCATCAATCACCAAATTAAGCAAATGCCCTACAGGCTTGTCTACAGCCTGATCTTCCAGAGGCGTTTTCTCAGTTGAGTCCCCTCTCTTCTCAGATGACTTTGGCTTGTATCAATTTGACATAAAACTATCCAACACAGAATGGGATAGTGTGTGTGGTCCCTGGGAAACCACCCTCTCATGGCAGATGGAGGAAAAGACCAAGAAGTTGGGGAGTTTGTGATGGCTGCTGACCCCACTTATTCTCAGAACACATTTAATTCTCTTCTTTGGCATGCCCTCCTTGATGGGTACCACTGTCTACCCTGCATTAATGAGCATCCTGGCAGGAGGCTGCACTGGAGAGCACAAGAAATCAGACTTTATACCACCAGCATTGATTCAAAGGGTTGTTTATTCTACCTCAGTAGCATCCAGGAACATCACAAAAATGGGAGCCTTTTTATTTTCCTCGGTGATTCTTATGGGATTTCAAAAGCATGCTTATTCAGCAGTCAAGGCAGCAAAGCAAACAACCTCCATTAAAACTTAAATAGATTTCACCTAATTATTGCGCCATTTTTTAATTTCTAAACTCGGAACCTAAAAACCATTCCACCGACACTTTTCCCAGGAACTGTAGTAGAAATATTGTCTTAATTCTGCTTCCAGTGAGTGATATTACAGACAAGGAGCCTCATTTCCCACCCATTGTTAGGAAGCAAGGCAGGTCTTTCTTTAAGCATGGATGAAGCAAACACAGAGCATATACACAGCACAGACTGCACTATGCAAGGAGAAGACTGGCCTGGGCACTGTGCGTTTGATTTAAAGAAGTCATCTGTCAAATACTGGAATCTGTGTTTGGAGTGCTGGGGCTTGTTAGGGGCTTTGAGGATTTCTAAGGTCTAGCTGTACATCCCCTCAATAGCTGTGGTATTCATAGGACTGGTGGGCTCACTAACTAGCATAAAGCCTGACCAACAAGTTCAGTTATTCAGTAGCTGGCTTCCCAGCTTTTGAATTACATAAAACCTCCTTGGGTTGTTTTTTCCTCTTCATTAGGATATCCCCCCAAGAAGGTGAGCTTGTAAAATTCAGTGCTAGCTTGTTCCGAAAGTTTAGTAGAGCAGGCATTGATAATTCCTGGGGGAAGGAAGGTGAGGGAAGAAAAAACAAAACAAAACAAAAAATTAGTTTACTGTATATTGTGATTCTTTTTAATTAAAAATGGTTTCAGCTTATAACAAGCAATCGAATGATTCCCCTAAGTACCAAACAATCCCAAACCCAGTATTCAAAATACTTTTTATCCTCTCTGTGTCTCCCTCTTCTCTCCCCCTCCCCTTCCTTCCTCCCTTTATCAAAATGTATTTGTTTTCTTGCAAAACATAGATGTATTGGCTTCAATCAAGTCCATGTCTTATCTTCAGAACCAAAAAATCATGAATGTTCATACGAATTCTCTGAGATGATCTTCACATGGCGGTCAGAACCCCAACTAATAAGGAAATTAAGTGTCAGAGATGCAAAGGTAGTGGTTCTCAACCTATGGGTTGGAGCCCCTTTGGAGGTATCACATATCAGATATCCTGCACATCAGATATTTACATTACAATTCATAACAAAGTTACAAGCATGAGGCAGCAATGAAACAATTTCATGGTTGGTGGGGGTCACCACAACATTAGGAACTGTATTAAAGGGTGGCAGCATTAGGGAAGTTGAGAGCTGCTAAGGTAAGGAATGTGTCCAAGGCCACATGCCCAACTAATAAATAGCAGACCAAATAGATATTCTCCTCCATCATGCACTCTAACTCTCTGGAATCTTGAGCTCAAATAACTCGTTCATCTATTTTATTTTATTATTTATTTATATTAATCTTTGGTTTTTCAAGACAGGGTTTCTCTGTGACTTTGGAGGCAGTCCTGGAACTAGCTCTTGAAGATCAGGCTCGTCTCAAACTCACAGAGATCCACCTGCCTCTGCCTCCCAAGAGTTGGGATTAAAGGCATGCGCTACCACCACCCAGCTAAACCCGTTCATCTATAAGTTGCTTTGTTCATGGCATTTTATCCCCAAAATAGAAAAGTAACCGATAAAGTCACATTATTTAAAATATGTAGAGCCAAATCTGTGTGGTTCAGACCTATAATACCTGTTACTTGGAAGGCAGAGGCAGGAAGATATCAAGTTAAGGGCCAGTGATAGGGCATGTTCTTCTGTATATGTTTCTCTTATTGGTTAAAGAATAAAACACTGATTAGCTGATTGGCTGGACAGGAAGTGACATAACTGGCCAGAATCAGGATACAAGCAGGGGACAAACAGGAAAACTCTCTCTTCTCTGCAGAGATGCTAAGAAGTCATCATGTAGCAGGCAAAGGAGTTGCAGGTCCGACATTCCTCAGTAGGCCAAGACCACGTGCAAATACATGGATTAGTAGTTATGGGTTAATAATTAAGACAGAGTTAGCCAAATAAGAAGCCCTAGTCACCAGCCAATAGTTTCATAGTTAATGTAGTGTCTGTGTGTTTATTTGAGGCTGAGCAGGGAGACAGGATCAGCCAGGCCAGACAACTCATATTTACTGGCCAGTCTAGACTACTGAGTATCAGTCTGTCTCAAAATATAAAGTAAAATGATGGCTGGGACTATAACTTGATGATGGAGTACCTGCCTAGCATGTGTGAGACTTTATATCCAATTCCTAGTATCACAACAATACCAACAATGAAAAATATATAGGATTGGACACAATGAGTATGACCACCTATGGAACAGCCTGCCATTCCTGTAGTGTTTCTATGATTCTATATTGCACACTCAAGTTTTGTTCTAGTAAAATTTTTCATTGATCCTTTTCTAGAGGTCGGTAGAAAATTCTAACAATTAATGATAGATGAGACTGTAAGTCTCTCTTCAAGTAGGAGCATGATTTGACAGTGACTAATTGTATCTCCAAGGCTTGTCTTTTTTTTTTTACTCTTGAGACACTTTTCAGCAACATCTTAGAGCCCAGTGGACTCTTACCAAACAAAAGGTTGTTGTTTCGCTTCAAAACGTCTCTCTGCTGAGTCTTTCCTAGGATGTAATGGGAAGGGAGCACATCTTCCTGTAGAATTCAGCTGATTTGCACATGTAACAAAGAGTAAGAAGCACAGGTTTCCACACAAGTTTATAGATGAGAACCCAGAGCACTGTTTGTATTGGGGCCACTTGATCTCACACCCCATCTGTGGTTTCCATTAATATCTTCTTTGCCTCCTCTCTGAAATTCTTCATTATCAATGGATCTTTGTTAAGAACTCTCTTCCTCAGCTTCAGGCCATTTTTGCCAGACAGTTCTATATTCTCCCACTCCCAACCAACACCCTTTACTTTTGCCAGGCCACTGAAAATTTAACTTCCTGCCGCTGGGCAACCATTTCAGGATGCTAAGAGTCTAGCTATACCCACAAACCTCTTAGGATATTAAGAGACTGGTAATACCTCCTCACTTGCCTCACAGTTCCCAAAATGTTAGAAACTCTCAGAGCTTGGTGCTGACAGATAACAGTCTCCATGGCAGCAGTCATCCATCTGCCTGTCTCCTTCAGATATCAGTCTTCTCTCTCCCTGGGGAGTGCTGATGCTTACTTGAGTCTATATCATTAGGTCACACTGTGCTCTTATCCCAAGTATGTTAAACAAAGACCTTCTTTAGCTTTGATTCTGAATGTGTGTTGGCTATTTATTGGGGTGTCTCTGCCAGCTCTCCCACCCCATTCCTTCTCCTATGCCCTACTCCTTTGGGTGGGCTGCACATTGGCGGGCTATTAAACAACTTTAACACAGTTGCACTTTGTTTGTCCATATCTATGCCTTTGGCTGTCTGAGAGGGGGTATTGTGCTAGGCTGGACTGTTTGATTGGAGGAACCATTTAGACTTTGGGGTGTAGAATAGTTAAATATGATGTTTCATGGAGTTGAAAATTCAAAGGCAACTAGAAATTACTGTTAATGCTCGTGTATGTGTGTGTGTGTGTGTGTGAGAGAGAGAGAGAGAGAGAGAGAGAGAGAGAGAGAGAGAGAGAGCCCCCACACACAGAGGCATACATTGGCATGGATAGGGAATTTGGATCATTCTAAAGTGAGACTCAGCTCAGATCTCCATCTCAGCTTCATCACATTGGAATTTTAACTTTGAAATGGAATCCAACCAGTAAACATTTCAGTTTATAAAGAGGAAGACACAGAAAAATGAAATATTTCTTGGAAATACTCATGAGCCTGAGTTAAAGCTGCCATAGGGGGCTTCTTAAAGTTCTAGCATCTTCTCTTCATAAAGGTTCTTTATGGTTCTCTTCATGTTGGCTCCCCCAGGATGAGGTGCTCCTCTTTCCCAATGTTCTTTATTCTTGAAATATTCTTTCTTCCTGAAACAGAGAAGGAAGCATGTGACTATGCCAATTGGGATCAAGATAGGACCGTAATGCAGATGCCTCACTAAAGCACCTTCTAGCAGGAGAGAGTGGTCCTACGAGATCATTCCTTGATGGAGGCAGGGTGAGGAAATATAGTCTATTGAAATAAATACTTGTTGGGAAGCTAGGAGATCACAGTTCTGAGGTTGGCTCTTCCATAGCCTAAAGGATCTTCATTCAGCCTTTAATTCATCATCTAAATATCTTTTTTTCATATCTAAATAAGTTGGATTCAAGTACCCATTTGGGACCAAGTCAGATTTTACTACCATTTTATATCTAATATTTCATTTTCATTTCCAATTCATCTTGTAGAGGAAACTAAATGTGTTTTCCTACCTCATGGGTCCTATAGGAAATCGTTTTCTAATGAATTGAAACATGTTTTCTCGTTTCATTTTCACTTGCTGTTAAGTTTACGCTTCTCCTGCCAGTGCTTTACAGTGAGATGGTTTAACTACATGTCTGGTGCCTTCTTTTGATTGGCCCCTTCCCCATACGCCATGTCTTCCAGCACTCCACAGAATTAGCAGAAGGAATTGAATTGCAGAATTTCAGGCACAGGAGAAATGAGGTTAGGGGACACACAAGGAGCAACAAAAACAGAAGGCAGACCCTCCTTCAACATCTTTCATGTGTCTGCTGATATAAATGAAGCTTGCCTGCACTGGAGAATACTATGGGCTAAAACCCCCACCGGCTAATGTTTTGGATGTGATAAAAAATAACTTATTTTCTTTACTATTTGATGCCTTCTAAGTTTAAACAACTAAAGCAAAAACCAGAGTTTGAAGTTCTGTGTTTTCGGATGGATGAACTGAGCACAGAGAGTTTAAGCTTAGAAACCTGGGTGGCATTTAAGCCTCTAAATATTAAACCAGAATGGTTCAGAGCAAAGCTGGTAGGTCAGGAAAATGAGTTTCTGTCAGAAAATCTCTCCTTGCACCAGAAGCACACCAGCTATCTAAACCTTGCCTTTCGATTCAGTCAGTAATCATGACAGGGTTGGCTGCATCACGAACAGATGTTAAGATAGCATGGTAAACTCTTAAACACAAGCTTACCTGTGATGTGCTGGATACCTTCTACTCTTAGACACACATCTGGAGAAAAATGTCAGTACTTCATCCAACGACTTACTAGGTGCTAAGACCATTAATAAATATGTAGTTCAGTTTTGTGTGGAAGGGATAGTATGTGTTAGTATTAGTATACAAATGTGTGCTTGTGTGTGTGGAGGTCAGAGGTCAACCCAAGGTATCATTTCTCAGACCCCATCTACCTGGTTTTTTATTTTATTTTGTTTTGTTTTTTGTTTGTTTGTATGCTTAATACAGGGTCTTACATTTGTTTGGAGCTTCTTAATTAGGCCAGACTGACTGGCTAGCCATCCTTAGGAATCCACCTGTCTCTGCCTTCCCCAGCGCTGGGATTACAAGTGTGTACTATCCTACTCATCACTGGTGTGGTGAGCATTTTACTCACCGAGCTATCTTCATTAAGTTATAATGAAATTATATGAAACTGTAATCTTTATAATAATGTAAAACAGCCAACAGTGTGCTCACGGTATATAAGTGTGCTGATACTTTTTACAACACACTAAGCCCTCGTTGACAAAAGAAAACATGTGCTGCCTTCTTTGGTAGTCATGAACGGAATGCTCTAATGAGGTCCTAACCACTGGCGGATAGGATCAGAGCTGAATCCTTTTAAAGGTAAGGAAGTCATGAGAATGAGGCTCTCATGGGTGGGATTCATGCCCTCATGAGAAAAGTGAAGGGAAAGTTGGCTTCCTTTCTCTGTCCTCCATCCTGATAGAATGTAAGAAAATAGACTTCTAGAAACAATGAAAAGGCCCCACAAATAACCTAATTTTACTCTTATTCCAGTCATAAAATTATAATAAACTTTTTTCTATTACTTAAACCATTTAATTGATGGTAATTTGTTATTGTAGCCTGAAGTTACTAAGTTGATAATAATGAAGGCAACAGGAAATAGAAGTATATTGGAAGAAATTTAAGCCATAAACCTTCTCATTTTTCTAGAGTCCTGCTATGTGTTAACTACATGAATGCTTTAAAATGTATCATCTGATAGATGATCTTTGGCTGCCCGGAGGATCCTTCCTTATACAGTTATTCCCAACAAGACATGAGATTGTGACACTCCTGAAGACCTCTTATCCCATTCTAGTATAAGAACACTGTGAGTTCAAAGGCCTATTCCATCTCATCCTACCTACTTACTTTCCCTCTGCCGTAACCCTAGGAAATTTAGCCTACATCTTGTGAAAGCCTGTTGCTTTCTATTGATGAGATGGTCAGAGAATGTAAAACAAGAAGGTCCTCACTCTGAACAATTCCCATGCACATGTTATATTCTTCATGGAAAATGCCCACAAGGTCCTTCACATGTGGATAAGTATGTTGGATAGTATTCCACAAGAAGACTGTGGACCGGAACCAGTAGATGCTTAATGTGCATTTTCAGCTTCTGATGGCAGCAACAATGGCACCCAAGACCCTCACGTAGTTTCTTCATCAGTAAACCACTATGATTTCCAGTGTGACTGCTGCTTGGCTCTGTCTTTGCTGGCCACCCACACTTTAGATCACTGGTTCTCAACTGTCCTAATGCTGCGACCCTTTAATACAGTGTCCCTCATGTCATGGTGACCCCAACCTCAATATTATTTTTGTCGCTACCTCATAGCTGTAATTTTGCTACTGTTATGAATTGTAGTGTAATTATCTGACATGCAGGAAATATGATACATGGATCCTGTGAAATGGCCTTTTGACCCTCAAAGGGTCACAACCTGTCGGGAACCACTGCTTTCGAGTAACCTGTGGCTTATCTTAAAAAATATAATACTGCCGGGCATTGGTGGCACATGTCTTTAATCCCAGCACTCGGGAGGCAGAGGCAGGTGGATCTCTGTGAGTTCGAGACCAGCCTGGTCTACAGAGTGAGTTCCAGGACAGCCTCCAAAACAATACAGAGAAACCCTGTCTCGAAAAACCAAAACCAAACCAAAACAAAACAAAAAAACAAACCACTAAATCCTTAGTCTAGAACAATGCAAAATATTCTCCATCTTGTCAAACAAGGGTATCCCATGTCCACATGCTGTGAAAGTTTGTAAATGTGACCAAAGGACCATTTCACACATTCTCTGCACTGTAATCTGAAAGTGCAATCTGAAGTGTACTGACTGAAAATCAGATGGAGAAGAATGAATGGGAGGAGACTACCAGTTATGTTTACTATTAAAATAAGTTACATTCCAGTCTTTTTCATATGTTGTTGATTTTTGCACTGAATTAACAAAGTGATGTTTTAGAAAACATCTTCCATTTACTTTCTAAAACTTTGCTAACATTTGGATAAGTGTTTTTCAAGGACCTGTGTATTAGACACTGGGTCATCACCTTGTAGTGCTGGTAGGGGATTGTAGAACTCAAAAAAAGAGGCAGGAGCTAGTGGGAGGAAGCTAGGTCATTAAGGGCATGAACTTAAAGGGTCTATCAGGGCCCAAGCTCTGCCAGTATGAGCTGTGAGCTAACCAACATAAACTTGAGGCTCACACTAGCCCTGAGTATGGGTATGCCTGATATTCAAACTTGTGTCAAAGTGATGTAACTTTGTTTGTTTTCTCTCTTCTTTCTTCTTTCCCTTTCAGTCTTCCTTCCCATAATGCTCTTTGAGCACTGTCTGTTTTAGCTCCTATTTTTAAGGAATGTCTAGGCTAAAGCTTTCCCTAAACCATTAGGTTTAGGCCCAGTCACTTGCCTTCCAAGGAAGATGACTCTATATTTATGATTTCTAGTAATTTATTGTACCCAGTTTCTAAATTCAAGGACCTACAGGTATGCTTGTGCATGGGCATTTCCATAAGGGCCTTTGGAACCCTCACCAGAGGTGATGAGCAGGGATGGAATATGGCCATAGAGCATATATTTAGGGTTATAACTGTAGCATAACTATAACTGAAGTAACAGCGAGGTGGGCTTGATTGCTACCATGTCACTCAAAAGGAGCCTTGTCCCTCTCCTGTGTCTCCATAGTAGCCTTAGACATGACTGACCTCTGACAGAAATCACGTCCCCCTCTCTATGTCATGGAGTGACATCATCCTGAGGCAACATAATGATGATGGTGCTCAGTGGGAGGATCTGAGGTCCTTTTATTCTTGGGACTCCAGAGTTCTCATCTTAGGGATGTTTGATTCAATAAGATGGGGTAGGTAGCAAGTAGCCCTACATCTCAGTGACTTTTAAATAAGTATGTTTAGTGTTCATGCTCCACGAGGTTTGATATTTATTCTGTTTTCATTTCTGTTTTTCTGAGGAAAAGCAGCTTAGGAAAGAAATGGCATACAGTTCAGGTTAAAATCCATCGCTGATGGGCAGTCAAGGCAGGAGGTCCAGCAGCTAATCACTGCACATCCAAGGTCAAGAACAAAGACGAATGTGTCACTACTAGCCTTCTCCACTCTTGCAGAGTTCCAGGGCCCACCCCATGAAATCATGTTGTTCATAATGGACTGGATCTTTCTACAACAATTAACAATCCAGACAGTCCCCTAACAGACAGGCCCACAGGCCACCAGGATCCAGACAAGTTCCTCAATTGAGCACTTTTCCCAGGTTATGGCAAATCAACATTTAAAGCAAACCTCCCCAGTGTTTGAGCACTGTCCGTTCTCTGAGGCCCAACAGAGGGGCACCCACTTTGTAGAATATTTCTGGTTAGTGTAGATGAGGGGAAAATGCATGAAAAGAATGTGGAATATGTGCATGGTCTCTTGGTTTCCTAAAGTTGAGCCAGAAGCCACACATACTACACTTTGCAGCAATGCACTCACTAAAGTAAGTTCTATGACCATGCCTACAATTCTACCATGCTCCCGCAAGGGCAGAATGTAAATATTTATGAAAAATCCAAAACGTTAATGCAAAACATCAAACACTGTGATCTTAGTAAAATCCCAAGCACGGATCCTGGCATTTAGCAAAAGCAGTTATTACTATCTATGTTATTATCATTATCACCATGAAATGATAACCTGAAATCACATAGCTAGTAGGACACAGACAAGAGAACAATACTTATTGCATCTAGAATTGAAACTCTTTTTTCTGTACTCCTTTTACTGCACAGGAAAGACATGACCAATCCTAGCTATTATAACTCTGCCGTCAGCTCGATGACCCCAGGGAGTTTTGTCTTGTTTCTTTCTGGGTTACTCTGATGACTACCCTTCAAACCAACCTAGGAGACATCTCTGGGAGTGTCTGGGAACGCATTGCCAGAGAGGTTTAGGTGAGGAGGAAAGACCCACTATGAATGTGAGCAGGTTCATCCCACCAACTGGGGCCTCGGGTTGAACAAAAGGCACAAGGGAGAAGACATGAACTGAACACCGGCTTTCCTGTCTCTCTGCTTCTTGAATCCAGATGCACTGTGAGCAGCTCCCTCACACGTTTGCTGCTGTGCCTTCCTGCCTGCATCCTTTCTTAAAATGTGAAGCCCAATAAACCCTTCTCCCTTAAGTGGCTTCTGTGCACTATTTTCTCATAACAATGAAATGAGTAACTGCTGCAGTTACCTTCCAAATCAGGAATCAGTAAACCTTGCAGTGAAGGGCCAGTTAGTAATCGCTTTACATTTTCCAGACCATAGGGGTCCCGTCACAACCACTCAACTCTAGCACAAAAGCGGCTACGAACAAAACAAGCGACTGGGTACATACAGCTGTACCCTTACATCTTCCCCTACAGAAACATACATTGGCATGGGTTTGACAAGAGAGCATGCACTGGAGGAAGATTGATTAGTGGGTAGTCTGATAAGAGTTCCACAAGGAATCTGGTCCTCTGTGACTCAGTTTCCTCTGTAAAAGCCTGCTTTATAGGATTATGGTGAGGCCTAACAGGCTGATACAGGAGTGCTCAGATCACAGCAAACCCTGAATTCCCCTCCACAGGGGCTTATCTGCCCTTCCCTGAAGATCAAGCAGTGTCCTTATTCTCTTGGGACTGATATTCTGATGCAGTGAGGTAAAGAAAGAGACAGGTATGAGAAAGTGACAAGTACTATAAAGGAAAGCAAAGCAGGAAGGAGGAGGCAGAGGGGGAAGGCAAGCCAGGTAGATAATGGGCGAACAGGGCAGTCTCAGGGCGGGAGGGAGGGTGGCTTGTTTGTAAGGATTAGTGAGAGATAAGCGGAGAGTCTGGGCATGTGTGAAAGGCAGGTTAGGGATCACAGAGAGAAGTCTGCATCTAATTCTGTATGAGAAGGGAAAATTTGACTTTTAATTAGTTTTCATTTGTGTATTGTGTGTGTGCTTATGCACATACCACTGTGGTTATGTGCAGGTCAGAGGATATCTTGTGGGTGCCTGTCCTCTCCTCCAACCATTGTGGGTTCTGGGGATGGAATCCAAGATGTCCGGCTCAGTGGCAAATATCCTAATATCCTTATATTCTCTCTCTCTCTCTCTCTCTCTCTCTCTCTCTCTCTCTCTCTCTCTCTCTCTCTCTCTCTCTCTCTCTCTCTCTGTCCCTCCCTCCCTCCCTCCCCCCTCCCCACTTGTTTGCTTACCTTTTCTTCTCCACTCTTCTTTCTTCCTTCTCCCCAGTCCTCCCTCTCTTGCCTATGGTCCTCTCTGTTCTGCTCCAATAGAGTCCTCCCACTCCTCGGCAACCCTTCTTTTAACTGACACTTGACTCTGTTGGAAGTACCCAAACCCCCTCCTTATTCTCCTGCTCTGAGAGGTGGTTGGCCCAGCTCGGCTTTCCAGTAGGACTTAACCTAATTCCTCAGATGTGAAGCAGACAGAAAAGGGCTTAGTGAGAACAAGATGAGAATTAAAGCAGAGACCATCAACAACATTTTGTTGTTATTTAATAAACAGGATGCTGAAGCACTGAAGACACACACCAGCTGTCCTGCAGTGCTGTGGATGTTGCAGAGGACACATGGATGTGGGATGACTTTTTCCCATGCTTTCTGAGGCCTGAGTTTATGAGTGGCTGTGTGTTTATTCCAGGATTGGGAATATAACCAAGTCCTGGTTACCAGGGTTAAATGATGGTCATAAAGATTTCAAGCATCTGGAAAAATCGAAGCATGAATTTTGCAGACACATTTTTAAAGTAAGTTATTGAACAAATATTATGTATGTGGATGATGGTAGTTCTATGAGTGCACAAATCATACGGAGAGGGGAGAATGAGAGATGAGAAAGAGTTTGTGAGAGGAAGAAATAGGATATGGGAAGAGGAGGGGGAGAAGAAGAGTGTGCCACGTGACTGCCAAGCTAGCACTGTGTGGCCATCCACACTCAGCGTCTCTGTATAAAGCACAGACACTGCAGCTTTTAGCCCTAAATGCTAGAAGACTGAAATTCTCCTCTGTTCAGAAGAAAACCACTCAACACCCCTAAAAATGTCACTGACTGGGTTGATGCTGCACAGCAAGTCTGCGATACAAGGCTTACTCGTCTGGCTTTCCTGTCCGCCTCTCCTCCAGCCAGGAAACCGCCATCCTCTCTGATTCTGTGAATTTGGCTGTAAGTGGAAGAAGCATTTTAAACAATTTGCCAGCAGTGGCTCTTTTGTGCTTCTCGGATTCTAAAATGATACCAATCACCTGGAGGTATGACCCAAAAGCAGATTCCGACCCAGTCGGTCAGGAGCAGGTCTTGACATTCTGCAAAAGAGTTCTAATAGTTTTTCGCTTAACAGTAGGCCCAGAAGCTTTAGTTATATTAAGTATCTATCTATTCTATTACAATGAATGGCAAAATTTATAATACAATTTTAATTTTTAAAGAAAGGTTTTATGAAGCTTGGGCTGAACTCAAACTCCCTATGTAGCTGAGGATGACCTTGAACGTTTGATCCTTGTAGATACCGAGATTACAGGTGTGCACTACTGCACCTGGTTATTTTGCAGGGCTGGGGATCACTTGCACACAGGGCTTCCTCCTCACGCTATGCAAGTTCTCTACCAACTGAGCAACATCCCCAGATCCCCAGTCCTCCTCCTCCTCCTCCTTCTTCTTCTCCTTCTGATCTTTCAGTAAATAAGTCTTTTATTTAAATTAGAGACAAACTTGCTTCACATGTCAATCCCAGTTCCTTCTCCCTTCCCCCTCCCCTGCCCTCCAACCCTCCCAACCCCACTTCCAATCCCCACTCCACTCTCCAGGGAGGATGAGGCCCTTCATGGGGGAATCTCAAAAGTCTGTCATATCATCCAGGGCAGGGCCAAGACCCTCCCCCATGTTTCCAGGCTGGGAGAGCATCCTTCCATGTGGACTGGGCTTCCAAAGTCCATTGGGGATAAATACTTATCTAATACCTGAGACCTCAAAGATTGATGAGGCAGCCCCTCACTGACACCCATGTTCAAAGGGTTTGGATCAGTCCCGCCTCTCAGCCATCAGTCTGGGGTCCATGAGCTCCCCCTTGTTCAGGTCAGCGGTTTCTGTGGGTTTCATGAGCCCAGTCTTGACCCCTTTGTTCATCACTCCTCCCTCTATGCAACTGGGTTCCAGGAGTTCAGTTCAGTGTTTAGCTGTGGGTGTCTGCATTTGCTTCCATCAGTCACCGAATAAAGACTCTAGGACGGCATACAAGGTAGTCAGCAGTCACATTATTGGGGACGGTCATTTAAGGTAGCCTCTTGCTTAGATTGCCAGTTGGTGTCACCCTTGTAGAGCTCTGGAAATCTCACTAGTGCCAGATCTCTCCTCAAACCTATAATGGCTCCCTCTATTTTAGTATCTCTCATCCTGCTCTCCTCTATTCTTCCCCAACCTTTCTTCTCCTCCATGTCCTCCTCTTCTCCCCTTCACTTTTCCCCAGCCCATGCTTCTTAATGAAAGGTAGGAATCATTGGAAGATCTCTGCATTTTATAAAAACAGAAGAGAATTTAGTCTAAGTTTTCTGGGCAAATTTACCTGATTTGGAAAAGTGTTAGGAAAGGAATTAGCGTTGACTTATGGGTCCTAGCTCCTGGAACCCAAGTGATCTCTTAGTTCTTCAGTTCTTCAAGCTCTGACCCATAGCCTGAGTGAGCAGAAGGCCTGGGTATCACAATATTTGGACTGAGTCAGGACTGTACACAGCAGCTTGTTGGAGTTTCTTGGCTTTGATTGCCATCTAGTGGCCAAAAGCAAGAGAGAACCATTTCGTAAAAAAAAAAAAAACCCTCTCTCCCTTCTCCCCCCACCTGTGTGTGTGTGTGTGTGTGTATGTGTGTGTGATTGTGTGTGTATATGTACGTGTGTGTTGTATACATGTGTGTGGGTGTGTGTCTATGTGTACCTTTGTAGAGACCAAAACAAAACATTGAGTATCTTCTACTGTTCTCCACGTTACTGTTTTAAGAGAGGGTCTCACTGACTTGAAAGCTTGCCATTTTGGTTAGACGGGCTGGCAATCCATCTCTCCGATCCTTCATATCTCTATTACACTACACTGAAGTTGAAGGTGTATTCACACATGACCAGATCTTTACATGGATGCTAGGTATTAGAATTTGGGTCCTCAGGTCCTCACGCTTGCAGAACATTTACTCTGGCTATGGAGCCGTCTCCCAGTCCTTTTTTCCAACAAAGAAACAAATAAGTATAGCTTTCAGCTATGCCTGATGCTATTGTGCTATTCTAATTAAGAATGATTATGTTGAAGTATTCTTTCATATAATGTGTAGGTTGGAAATTAAGATAAACTCAGCTCCCACTTTCTTTTACATATGTAGATAGATAGTGATACAGATCCCCCAAATTCTGGTTTAATTCATTGCTCCTGTTTCAGCAAATATCCTGTTCATCATCACTGGTGGCGGTGTTAGTGGCATTGGAGATTACAAATTCAGAATTTCGCACATGCTAAGAAGCAGTCTAGCCTGAGCTACATTGCTTCTGAGTTAGGTCTTGCTGCAGAGGGCAGGCTATTCCATAGTTTGCTGTACAGCCTAGGATGGTCTCGACTTCTTGTCACCCCCACCCTGATTGCAGCTGTGTACTATTATGCCACCTCTCGTCTTTGCTATGTGACTGTGGACAGGTCACTTGAGCTTAGAACACCTTGAACTCTGAATGTGTAAGATAATAATTAGCCAATTCAGTAGGTAGTAGTAGAAGGTGCTTAGAGTCTACGTCAGGTATATTAGTCAGAATTCTTTAGAGAACCAAACCACCTAGAAATCTTTTTAAAAATGTTTTCATTAATTCTTACTTTTTTGTTTTTTATTATATTTTTATTTAAATTAGAAACATACTTGCTTCACATGTCAATTCCAGCTCCCTCTCCCATCCCTCCTCCATTACCTCTCCACCAGTCCCCCAGCCCCCACCCAATCCCCACACCATTACCTAGGGAGGGTGAGGCCTTCCATGGGGGATCTCCAGAATCTGGTGTAGGGCCTGGGCCCTCCCCCATGTGTCCAGGCTGAGAGAGCATCTCTCATTGTGGGATGGGCACCCAAAGTTCATTCATACGCCATGGTAAACACTAATCTACTACCCAAGGCCCCAGAGATTGCCAAAGCCTCTTCACTGACAACCACATTCAGAGGGTCTGGATCAGTCCCCTGCTGGTCTCTCAGCCATCAGTCTGGGGTCCAAGATCTCCCCCCTTATCAGGTCAGCTATCTTTGTGGGTTGACCCCTTTACTCATCGCTCCTCCTCTGTCACTTCAGTGTTTAGCTGTGGGTATCTGCCTCTGCTTCCATCAGTCATGGATGAAAGTTCTAGGGTGGTATATAAGGTAGTCAGTCCTCAATTTTATTATCAGGGGAGGGCTATTAAGGTAGTCTCTGCACTATTGCTTAGTTTGCCAGTTGGTGTCATCCTTGTAGATCTCCGGAAATCTCACTAGTGTCAGCTCTCTCCTCAAACCTATAATTATTTAACTTTTTACACTTGTTACTCCCAGCTCCCTCTCCCTCCCCTCCTCTCCCACCCCCCTAACTCCCACTCCATCACCCCTCCGCTCCCCAGGGAGGGTAAGGCCTTCCATGGGGGGATTTTCAAAGTCTGTCACATCATCCCTGGCAGGGCCCAGGCTCTCCCCCATGTATCTAGGCTGAGAGAGTATCCCTCCATGTGGAATGGGCTCCCAAAGTCCATCTGTATGCTAGGGATAAATACTAATCCACTATCCGAGGTCCCGCAGATTGCTGAGGCCTCCTCTCTGACTTCCAGGCTGAGGGGTGGGATCTGGATCAGTCCCATGCTGGTCTCTCAGTCACCAGTCTGGGGTCCATGTGTTCCCCCCTTGTTCAGGTCAGTAGAGTTACTGATTTTTTTTAGTTAATTTTGTATCCTGCTACCTTGCTGAAGGTGTTTATCAGCTGTAGGAGTTCGCTGGCAAAATTCTTCAGGTCACTTATGTAAACTATCATATCATCTGCAAATAGTGAAAGTTTGACTTTTTCCTTTCTAATTTGTATCCCCTTGATCTCCTTTTGTTGTCTTATTGCTCTAGCAAGAACTTCAAGTACAATATTGAACAGATATGGAGAGAGTGGACAACCTTGTCTTGTTCCTGATTTTAGAGGAATTGCCTTGAGTTTTTCTCCATTTAGTTTGATGTTGGCTGTCAGCTTGCTTTATATCGCTTTTATTATGTTTAGGTATGTTCCTCTTATCTCTGATCTCTCCAAGACATTTATCATGAAGGGATGCTAGATTTTGTCAAAGACTTTTCAGCATCTAGTAAGATGATCATATGGGTTTTTTTCCTTTTGCAGTTTGTTTATATGGTGGATTACATTGATGAATTTT